AAATGTCTTCTTGTTTTCATATTCGGAAGATTTAACATTCACTCACTCAAGACCAAAATAATGAAGTTTGCTTTACTTTCTTTCTTTGTAAGTTAAATTGGAAATGCGTTTTGTAAAATATGTGATAATGTTTTTTATCTCTAACGAGCCAAGATTGATGGGAAGGGCGTGAGAGAAAATTAAAAGGGGAGATCCAAAATACTCAATTTAGTTGCTCAAGACTGAAAATGTCAATTTCCTATTACATTCACTCGTAAAGTGATTAGCTATTTGCTGTCAGATAATTTTGACAGATTTAATATGGACCAATTTATTACAACAGTTTTCTGTTTTTCAACCACAATTGTAACCCTAATGGAAAAACTCGACATCTAAATATGCTTAACTGTCCTTTTGAAGCCCTCTTTTCGGTTAAGATTCACAGTGGTTGGCCTTGTGAACTTCCGCCTTCTTGTGAAATTGAGAAATAATAATACTTAACCCCAAATACAAAATACTTAGATCGTTTCGTTCTACCCCTCTCTCCTTCCCTCCTTGATGGTCCCCCTAGTGACAGGTAGTAGAGAACACCGTCAGGAGTTCAGACAAGATTACAGTAAACCCGAAATGCTTTAGTTGCTAGTGAGTAAAATATATGAATTCTCTCCTCCATTTTGAATGTCGAAGTATTGGATTTGAAAAATTAATAAAGTTGGCTGTAGATTGCATAATTTCATTTCACTTATTTCCCTAATTAAATATATGTTGAAAAACTTTCCTGATAAAAGCAATTCAGTTTTGCACTACAGAAATAGTTCCTGTTTCAGAGTACGATTTCAAGTATTGTTTATTAAAACATTTTTTTTTCTCTTATTAAAGTGCAACAGTAACAAGTATACTTTTTGTATTTGAAAATTTAAATTGTATATTGTTTTCTGTAAGTGGATATATATCAGAAAGGGTGAGGGCAAGGCACGGCGTGGCTAACACTATAGTATCTGTGTACAAGTGTATACCGAAGTACAAGGTTAGATATAACATAGGACGTGCCCACATGTTTATGCAAAGCATTATTATAGGATTAGACGTCAAAGCAAGGCGACAGTGATAAACATATTAAATGCTTCGCTCGAACTTTTTTTTTAAATTAAGCACAAAGCTACACAAAAGGCTATCTGTGCTCTGCTCACCATGGGTATCGAAACCCGGTTTCTAGCGTTGTAAGTCCGCAGACTTACCGCTGTGCCACTGGAGGCGCTCAACCTTTTACTCTCACTTGTAACAGTTTTAATTTAGGACAAAGCCACGTGGGGCACGATAAGTCTTATAGTTTTAGTAATTAAAATTGTAATATTTATAAAGATTGATTAGTACGATATTCAAAGAAATGTGGGTTGTCTCCCTATTAGTTATCGAGCAGGTGCTTAAGATTTTAATTAAGCTTATTACCAAAAAAAAAATCATTGTAAGATTAAATAAGACTTGTTCGGTTTTTGTGTTTAGGATTGAACCTTTTATTATATAAAAAGGTTTCAACTTGCAGCCATTCTTTGAGGACTGAGCAGAGTGAACGATTTTTATTGTAAGTGCTGTTAATTTCTGTAGGTTTACTGTACGTAAAATATGCTAGGTCATGTGTCAGAATTAAAAAGAAACAAAAAAGATCAAATGAACAGAATAGTTGACAGAGGAGTATTGTTGTTGATGTAGTACCCCTCTTATGTTGATGCTGTATTGTGTATACACCTCAAGAGTTAATTTGGACATTCATTAATAGCATGTACTTATGGGTGTTTTGTGAATAGGCGAGGAAAATTGGAGTTTTTTATTATTTTTATTTCTACAACAACTACTATTATCATGATAGATATTATTACACCCACTTTTAACTACCGTTATTACCTAAGAATTGTCTGGGAAGCTTAATTTGACAACTAGGCAGAAAATATTTTTTTGTCCGGCTTTTCATGAGATTATATAAGAACTACCGGTTCACATTAGACAACAATTCCTGTCCCAGGCAGCTGAGAATTATAATAGACTCAACAACCAGTTCAGTCGATTGTTAGAAAGATCTTAAGACTGGGAAGTCGTCTTTTTTTTTTTAGAGTTAATACTTTTATTTACTCCTTATAAAATAATATTTAATTCCATTTAATGTAGAGTATATATAGCATAAATGTCACCAGCGGTTTTCAGTCTACACTGCTTAAAAAACAAATTTGTGGAGCTTGTAAACCATCGAAACCTACATTATGTTCTTCAGAATATGGCAAAGCTCATATATCTTTTTTTTTTTATTAAGTATAACCAGTTAGTATGTTTTTCACCACGTCATGCTGACGTAAATTTACTGTGGTTTTCGTTTCATTTTATTTCACTGATATTTTTATGTTAGTTTTTTTTACGAAACACGTAATATAATAGTAATAAAATAATTGCGTAGGCGAGGAAATAACGTAATATAATAGTTTCATTTGTGATGAGGATGACGCCTGTATATAAACATATACAACTCTTAGGATCAGACTTTTAAAAATAAATTTCTTTGTTGGCGGTCCACACTGTATCTTAAAGAAGGACTTAGACCCTAGATTCTAAACAATCAGACAACTAACAATATTCCTAAAGAAGGGCTTATTCCTGAAATGCTCAGACACCTCATCACCAATTTTGAAGAATGGCTTAGACCCGAAACGCTCCGACAAGTCATCATCACGTTTGAAGAAGGGCTTAGACCCGAAATGCTTAGACAACTCACAACATTACTGAATAATGGCTTAGATTCATAAGGTTCAAACACTTCATTAACACCCTTGAAGAATGGCTTAGACTTGAAACGTTCACACACTTCATCAATACTCCACAAGAATGTCTTATACTCGAAACGTTCAAACACTTCATCAATATCCTGAAAATGGGCTTAGACCCGAAACGTTCAGAAAACTCACTAACACTTCTGAAGAAGGGATTAAACCTGAATGTTCAGATAAATCTCAAGACTACCATATCTTTGTTGTTCGAATTTTCGATTATTCTTTATAAATGACATTAATTGTTATAGGCCAAAATGTATCGAGTCACTATGATAAATGCGTTAAATATCATAACATTGAAACAAAGAACTGTTATCCGGATCGGTTTATTATTGGCCTAATGTCACAGTAAGCAGTGCAAAAAATAAACAAACACAAAATGGCACACTTTATAAATGTGTTGATAATGCTGCTTTTCACACTTTATAAATGTGCTGATAATGCTGCTTTTTGAGTTTATATTGTGTTACCCTTTCTCTTTCTCTGTCTATATATAATTATGCATATCAAAAAAGCAGCATTATCAACACATCTGTTGTTTTACCATATAACAAAGCACAACTGCACCTTCTCTTGATTTAGGTAACACACTTTTAGGTCGATACAAGTTGAAATATGTATTCTCTGATACAGGATATTCTCGGCAGGGTGACAGAACACCTCGCAACATGTAGGTGTATTTAAGTATGTGTACTTTCCCACGCGTCTCATTTTGTGACAAATTTAACACTAATATGCATGAGACATCCAAATTAAATACATTTTTGAAAAGCCATTGCATTTTCTGAATGTTCACATGCTTTAAGTACAGATTGTTAAACATGATAAAGAAAGGAGAAAATCGCAGTATCAAATTCGCTGTTTTGACGATTCGTACAGATAGTAAGAATTTAGGAATGGTTAAAGACTGAAATAATTTAATGTGGTTGTCGAACACAAATCTTTAAAAATAAAAATGTTTGTTGTTGTTTATAATCAGAGTTTTTGTTTGTAATTAAGCACAAAGCTACATAATGGGCTATCTGTGCTCTGCCCACCACGGGTATCGAAACCCGGATTCTAGGGTTGTAAGTCCGCAGACATACCGCTGTGCCACTGGGGGGCTTATAATCCGACGAAACGCATTGTATTGAACTCCCTCACACGCGCGCACACCAGGCCCGTACGCAGAATGTTAGAAAGGGAGGTTTTAATTTGTGGGATCAAAAGCCAACACATATTATGTAAAGCAAAATTAGCATGCAAAGCACACTAATGCTGGGAGGTGGCATACGACTGTTTCAAGTAAAAGAAATGATAATGATTCGTCAGAATAATGTAGACTATGTAGAAAATGTTAAGTATCATAGGTAGCCGCGCTATGACTATATAAGCAAATTTTTTTACATAAAAAATAGGGGGGTTTGGCTGAACCCTCCCCCCCCCCCTGCATACGTGCGCGCACGCAATAGTATATTTTTTATATGTATCTCAGAAATGTTAACTGTTAAAGTCAGAATGTTATTGACATCACGTGGACAAAATTAACCCTCATGTATTATTCAGGAACGCGTTAAACTTAAATCTACACAACGCTAAAACTGGTGACAAAATGAATCCCAATGTATTAGTCATGGAGTTGTTAGGCCTAATTCTGCACGAATTATAACACTAGATAACTAACTTTCTGATATATAGAAAATTTTCTAAGCTGTTATTTATATTAAAATGTTAACGAGGTGTGAAATAATTAACAAGTAAAGGAAGTTATTTTATACTTAGACTTTATGTGTTTGTTTGTAATTAAGCACAAAGCTACACAATGGGCTATTTGTGTTGTGCTCATCAGGTTTTTAGGGCTATAAGCCTTCAAAATTAATGCTATGTCACTGGGAGCTATATTTTGGCTTAGCAAGTTGGTCTGATGTTTTAATATTGTTTGGCCCATGTTTAAGTTGTTATAACATCCATTAAGTAAATCAGCCTACCAGTTTAGGCATAATCCAAATAGACAATTCAGGTTTAGTATATTACTAGTATTTTCAATCGTTTTTGGGAAAGGTATCAGTAAAGCTATATAATACATAATACATGAATTATAGCTTGGTCTGGGGATTATCAGTAGCTTCTATTTGTAGTTCTTAGATCCATATTTTACAGTTTCTTTCAAATATTTTACACACAGTCCAACATAATTAATTAAAAACTGAAATAATGCATTTCCAGGACTTTATGAACAAATTTGGCTACCTCCCATCATCAGATTTTCAGACAGGGAACTTGCGAACGGATGAACAGCTTAAAAAAGCCATCAAACTGATGCAGAGGTTTGGAGGAATCAACGAAACGGGCGAAGTGGACGAAGCAACAGTCAAGCTAATGAACAGGAAAAGGTGCGGCATGCCTGATTTGATTGGACCCTCTGATAGGGTGAAACGATATGCTCTACAAGGACAGAAATGGGAGACTACAAAGCTCACGTGGAGGTTAGTTTGGTTTTTACGTTTTTTAAATACATTTTTGATACTTTTTGTCTGTAGTGCATACTGGATGGATTTACACATTTTGATAATAAAGTTAGAAAAAAACGACCTTTACACTCCAGATAATTATAAAAAAAACTTTCGCCTTTGTGACTTCTTCAGGGTTAGTACATAAAACTGTTTTATGTACTAACCCTGAAGAATCTGCAAAAGCGAAACGTCAGTTAAAATATAAGTTCTTTTGTAATTATCTGGAGTGTAAAGGTTGTTGTTTTTTTTCTAACTTTATTATCGACATTTTTGATAACCTATTATTCAAAAGATTTACAGTTTGTTTTCGGATATCGCAAAGCTACTCAAGAGCTCTCTGCAACAGCCAACGATAATTTAACTTCTGGAGAAAACAAAAAAGATTTATTTTTTCATTAAGTCTATCAAACGATTATTTTTCATAGAGGATTTGATAAAACGTCTAATGTGAGGAGATTTAAATTTTTACAACTATTATATCGTTGATACCACGCCTATAAATTTGTATATGCTTTAAATATCATATACAGTACATAAAAGGAATTATCTTACTGTAATGGACATAGCGTGTATATATGTATCTATGTATGTGACCGAAGTAATAAATACAATATGGTGCCATCTATTGAATGGCACCGCATTTCTTTATCACAGAACACAATTTTAAATAAAAGTTCTCTCCTCACATGAACAAGACGACTTTCATTAAGACTTTACGTAATATAATTTGTAAATATGGTACTAAAAATGGGGTTCTTAAAAACTGTTATTTTTTCAAGAAAGGATACCACTTTTAATATATAGAACATTACAGTTTATATCAGCACAATCCGAACACTTTTCCAGTGCATTACTTCCCAGAAATATCCCTTTTTAGAAAATGTTAACTTTTAAATTTTTTTAAAATAAGATATGAATACTAGTACAAACAGCCGCCCGTAGGGTAGTGTTTCTAATTTTAGAAATGAGTATACTGTTGTTAAAGTTATTATCGGCGTGTTAAAATGTGCGTAAAAAAAAAATAGTATTCCTTCAGAATAGCGTGACGTTATAATATTTTAATGTGAAATTTGGTATTGTTGATATATCGGTTCTATTTGAACAATAAACATAAAAAAAAGAAATACTTGGTAAATATCACCAACAGTTTTACGGCAAGTGTTTGAGTATTGAATGAATAGTGAATAACACAGACGTTTTAATATTTAGTTCAAATAACATCTGTACTGATCGATGAGAAGAAATATTGAAATATCTGAAAGAAGCACTTCTCGTGTTCAAAAACACAATTTATAAAATTCTGTCGAGTGCAAGCACAGAATACATAAGCTTTATGAAATGGTGATATAATTTTCACTCCATAGTAAACAGTGAGGTTTGCGATTAAATATACAACTGTGCTCTGAAAATGTAAAAATTCCGCAGAATTATCCAGGACACAAACTAGTTATCATACTTGCGATCAGTTGCATCAACTGGAGTGAAGAAAGAGTTAATAAATACTTACGTATTTTTAGGATTATGACGAACTGTGTAAGTCACATTTCTGAATATGCTTAAAAATGACTTTAAATATTATTTGCTGTTCCGTTTTGTTATAAAAACCACTGCATCGTTACAGGTGGATAAAGATATCTTTGTTTGTTATTAAGCACAAACAACACAATGTGTTGTGCCCCCCTGCGAGTATCGAAACCTGATTTGTTAGCGTTGTAAGCCTTCGGACTTACCGCAGAGCCACCAGGGGGCAGGTTGGAAAAGGAAAATGTAATGAAAAAAAAACATTTGCGAGTATCAAAATATTTAAGTGTCTTTCTGCTACAAACATCTCCAAAGTCCAAATAGAAAAGTGGGATCAGTAGAGAACTAAATATTAACTTCTGATCAAAGCAAGCTATCTATGTTTATCAGAACTAAAAAGTAATCCAATAATGAATTTAATATAATGTTCTTGCGTTCTTAACTATAATGATTAGAATGAATTATTTCAATGAGTGGGCACCCTCGATGCTAGCGGCATTTTCGATTATAATCCGAAGTTAAAATAGTGGCAAACAAACACTACATATCTATTATTATTATTGTTGTTTTTAAGAAAACCCTCCGTGCGTTTGGAGTTTGTAACACGAAGTTGAGAGGTCATGTATGCTTTATATCAAAATGATGGTTGTATATTTTTGCAACAAATATTTGTTTTCAAAAATGCTCTTTAATATTTTTCCAATAACCACCCAACTTTTTTTACGATGGAACTCACAACAGCTGATAATTTCAAGGCTACTGAAATGTGAATGCTACTTATCTATATATCTTAAAAGGAAAAATAAATATTAACAGTGACATTTTAGCCCCAAGTCCATAAACTAACTTTATAGAAACATTAGAAATGAAATAATTGGTCTGAGACAAGCCAGTGTGGATTCAGAATGGCTTATCAAGGAAGCTGTGCCAAAAGATTATTTGTTTTGTTGTATTTCGAACAAAGCTACTCTAGAGCTATCTGCATTAGCCGTCCCTAATTTTGAAGTGATAGAGGGTAGCTAGCTAGTCGACACCACCCACCACGAACTCTTGGTCTACTCTTTACCAAAGAATAGTGAGATTGACCATTATAACGCTTCCTCGGCTGAAAGGGCGAGCATAGTCGATGACGGGATTCGAACTCCCGACCCGCAGGTTGCAATGCGAGCGTCCTAACAAACACCAGGCATTGTACTAAAATATAAGAAAATTTGAAAATAATTTATGTTTTTTTTTGTTATTATTACTTGACACAAAATTATGTTTTACATAGTGACTTGACAGCAGAGTCACAAGGAGAATATGACCCATCAGGGTCATGAGTTGTTACAGGCATTTTGGAACTTTCGAGCAGACTGATAAGGCTTAGGGATGAAGATGGTCTCTGTCTGACAAAACCAAGATGTGCGTGAGAAGGAAAGTGTTGAGTAAACTAGCCTTGTTGTACACATGACATCTATTAGGATGTTTCTAAGAATCTACACGACCCGTTATCATGTGGGGGGGGGGGGCAAAGTCAAAATCAAGAGATGGTGGACCCGCCTCAAAGTTTTGCCATTACAGTCAAGAAAATAGGCAAGCTCCCACAGTCTGGCTTAAACTAACCTTACAGATATTAAACCCGTGAAATCGTACTGTAGACTTGCAGCTATATATATACTCCATCATAGTAAATTCTGGTTGACCCTGACCATGCTGTCTCATGGGATGTCTGCAAGAATGCTTCAATCTCTCTGATAACCTACTGCTGGTATTACCAGCAGGTGGCAACAGAATGACCCCGATCACACTGTGTCAGGGCTCAGGGGATATCAGCAAGACCGCGTCGGTCTCTTTGGTTACCTGCCTTTGATAATTTTGGGAGTTATGTGAGAAGGATACATTTCGGGATCAGTAACACTTACAATATTAAGTATTCACTAAATCATTCAGCGAATACGATTACTATGCCATTGAATTTGAAGTCGAATACTTTAATTTTCTCTACCAAAGTGGCCTGGCATGGCCAGGTGATCAGGGCGCTCGACTTACAATCTCGACATGCTCGCCCTTTCAGCCGTGGGGGGCGTTATAATTTTACGGTCAATCCCACTATTCGTTGGTAAAAGAGTAGCCCACGAGTTGGCGGTGGGTGGTGATGACTAGCTGCCTTTCCTCTAGTCTTACACTGCTAAATTAGGGACGGCCAGTGCAGATAGCCCTCGTGAAGCTTTGCGCGAAATTCATAAAAAACCAAACCCTACCAAAGTATTCTAATATTCCCAAAGCTGTGTTCAAATGCATTCGAATACGAATATCCCATGTCTGGCAAACAGACAATATAACATTTTTCATATAAAGATTGACCAAGAATCACTCCTTGAATGTCTCCTTCTTCTTCTTCCCAGGTTGTAAATGTCAACTTTTGTGTTCATCAAATTTCGAGACCGTCATTATTACATCCGCAGTACATTAATTTCTCTTTCAGTAGAAGCTTCATTCTCACGGGAAAGTTTCCCGTGGGAACGAAGTTTGTACTGAAATAGAAATTAACACTTTTTTATAAAAAGCAACGTAATATGATACGGTATTTTATAGGTGAAAACCTTGGCTTTCTACTGGTTATAAATAAAATAGTATTGAACGTCATAGAGAACTATTGACAAATCCTGAAAGAGAGGATATGACAGGTGGGTGTGGCAAGAGGGGGCTGATTTTCTATTTGATGACTATGTGAACAAACAAAATTGAAGACAATGAAAATTACGTTAAATTTCGTACTTATCGAAAGTGTGCTTGCAGATTTGGTGACAATACTGACACCTTTTGAAGAGGCAACAGATTTTACCCAGGATCATTTATTAGTTCAAGTTATGCAGTGCTATGTGTTTATGGGCTGATGACTGAGATTGGTAGCGTGCAGTCCAGATATGTATTCAATCTTGTTTCTGTACAGAAGAAATCTATTTACGCCCGGCTGACTCAGTATGAGCAGCGAAGTGTCTTCTGCTTGGATGCCGCATTGGATCCCAGATTTAATTTTGACTAGTGTTTTACTAGACCTATTGTCTATGAATCCTATCGAATCCTCCTTCAACAAGAAGTCAAAAAGTTCCTCAACAAATAATCCTACAATCATGGAGCCAAAATAGGACTGTAAATCCCACCCTCGCAAAAGAAATAAGCTCTTTAATGTCTTTGCTGCCTCCAAAAAAAATCAGCCACTTTATCTTCAGAGGATACAAAGATCAACACCTACTTCGATGGTCCTTGCATTCCTGAAGGAAGCAACCCTTTAGATTATTGGAAGAACCATGAAAAAAACCTTCCTATGCTACCTCTACTAGCCAAATGCTACCTGAGTGTTCCAGCATCCTCTGCCCCCGCTGATCCTTTGTTTAGCATCAGAGGCAAAACCCTCAGGTCTGATCGCTGTCGTGTCACTGACAAGACATTTGAGAGACTGATGTTCA